ACTTGTATTATTAAAATACAGAGAATATTAAATTAACATTAACTGAAAAATATTAAATTTACTTTCCCGTATCAATACCAACTTTCCTAAATTGCCTTTTCCTTAGTGAATATGACACGGAAAATATTTGTTTTTGAATTGGAAACATAAAATATCAACTCCAAAGAAACTTAAATAAATAAAGCTTATACTCATATCAGATAAATAAGTTAAAATTATTCCAATTGCAAAAAGCAATTTTTAAAGATAACGACAGCAGTAAAGTACAGCAAATACAAAACAAAACTAAAAGCTTTCGCTGCCAGTGGAACGGCAAGATTTTAGATAGCCTTCCAGGTTTAATTGTGAGTTGCACTATGACTTTGCTTCAAGTAAAGTACGTCATTTTCGAACCAAAAACTTAATTCAATCCACAGGGTTAGACTGTTCTCTTTGCGTATTCCATGATAGATTTTTATACACTAGCCGGCTCGAAATTCTCAGAAACTAGTAAGAAGTCAGATCACTAAAGAAAACTTGAGAGTATTACGACCAAAATATAATAGCACACTATTATTTCTATAAAAATTGCATTCATTTTTAACAAATGGCAATCGATTCCTTTAATTCATTTTATACTTAATTCGCGTGCCCTGTCAGCTGGGATTGCAGAATGCGAAAACTACACCTCTGCTCATAGGTAAAAAAAAAAAAAAAACTCCCCAATCAGTAGTTCTGGTAATGACGATAAACTACATCCGGCTGTAAAGCCTTTGATTGGTATAATAAAAGTTTTGATGAGTGTGTGAACCGCCATTTAATTGTTGTTGTTCCGAGGTCCACCCTGACCTGGGGCGGTAACACATGTGAGGCTCCCAGCTATAGGCAAATAGTGAATCCTCATGTAAAAAACAAAACACTATGAAAGTATAAAAACATCTTATTATTGTAAAAATATCAACAGTACATTTTTATTTAAAAATTACCAACATTCATTTTTGCAGGGAAATTTCTAGCAGCATTTTTTTCTATTAAAAATATAACAACAATAGAATTTATAATAAAATTACCAGCAATATATATTTTATTGTAGAATTACCAACAATACATTTTTATAACAAAATAACCAACAATATATCTTTAAAACAAAATGACCAACAATACATTTTCTAATAATCATCCATTTATTTTATAATGAAATGACCAACAATGCATTTTTATAGTAAAGTCACTAACAATACATTTTTATAGCAAAATGACATAGTTAAATTGAAGATATAGCATAGATTCTAAAAAAAAATTTAAAATGAATAATATGCTCATTTCTTGTAAGGGCAAACAAGCTTTCACTTCTCTTGATTTTATAAGATTATTACGTAAAAAAAGTAACCACAATTTAATCAAGAAATAATGTAATTCTCTTCAATTATAAAATTTGAATTTTCACAATTTCATTTCGGCATTACATAACCCATAGAGATGTCAATATGTCACTTAAAATCAACCAAAGCAAACTTGAAATCCGCCAATTCTACCCACTGTAAAAGGCAATATCTTCCGAATGTGAAAGAGGTCACTTCTGAGTAGATATTCGCAAACACATGTAAAAAGCAGAACTTTATATTGTAGCGTTTTTATCACTGGGGTAAAACAGAACTATGTCTTTCTTTGTCTGCTGTAAATTGATTCTGAGTTTAACTTTTTAACTAAAGAGTGTGCCAGACAGATATCTACAATTTTGATTCTAGTTGAAACCGGAAATATGCCTACTATTTTCATTGTCGTGTAAACCGGACCAATATCTTTTCTTTTTTTACTGTAATGTAAACCGAACATATTTCTACAATTTTTTTGCTCTAGTGTAAAGCGAATCATTTTGTCTATGGTTTAAACCAGACCATGGTACTCCAAGTGTAAAACGGACCTACGTTTACCTTTTTGAATCTAGTGTAAGCCAGACCTTTTACACTCCAGTGGAAATCGGACCTATGCCTATTTTTTCGATTCTGGACCATTTTACTCTAGTCAAAAACAGACCTATTTCTACATGTTAGTTTCTAGTATAAGTCGCTTCATTTTACACTAATGAAAAACAGAGGTATGTCTACATTTTAGATTCTAGTATAAGCCAGACCTTGTTACTCTAGTGTAAACCGGACCTATGTCTATCTTTCGGACTAATATTTTAATCTTCTCTAAAACGTATCCATGTCTTCCTTTTCCATCCTAGTGTAAACCGGACCTTTTTATCCTAGTGTAATCTAGACCTATGTCTATCTACCGGACTCGTGTAAGCCAGACCTTTTTACTCTAGTGTAAACCGGACCTATGTCTATCTTTCGGACTAATATTTTAATCTCCTCTAAAACGTATCCATGTCTTCCTTTTCTACTCTAGTTTAAACCCGACCTTTTTATCCTAGTGTAATCTAGACCTATGTCTATCTACCGGACTAGTGTAAGCCAGACCTTTTTACTCTAGTGTAAACCGGACCTATGTCTATCTACCGGACTCGTGTAAG